CACACACACACACACTCACACACACCATCCTTCGCCAGCTGACACGCCTGTCCTCCCAGTCCACACTTCCTCCTGCCTTTGAGTCGGCCGTTCTACACCCAGGACCACGCGCCTTGCTCCCGAAGACCCGCCGTGGTCTTCCATGGGGTGCCCTGCCTCACTTCCAAGTCCCTCCATCACTGCTGGGCGTCCCCTTCTCTGCAGGCTTGTCCTGAACCCTGAGCTCCACCAACCGGTCCCCGTCCCCTCCTCTTCTCGTCTGGACCCTGCGTGACCTCCTGGCCCAGCGGTGCTCTCCTCCTCCCCAGCCCCGACGCAGGCTCTCCACAAACTCCTGACACACCTGCTTGACGAGCCCACTCATTGCACACGATGGCAGCCCCGTGCTTACGGCAGAGCTGAAACCACTCGCTGGCAGTGAGACAGGGCATTCCCGTTCTCCAGGCTCACCAGCTAGAGCGTGAGGTCCCGAAACTCCCACGACACAGCCCGGTCCTCCTGCTCCCACTTCTCGAGGACATGGGCACGCTGTCCGAAGGAAGGGCGATTGGCTCCCAAAAGGCCAAGTGTTGCCATTTCTGGGTTTCCATAGTAACTTCAGCATCCCTCCCATTCTCAGGGCTCCTAGGATTAGCGTGTAGTGACCCTGCAGCCCTAAAGTGAGCCTTGTCCACTTCTGGCCCCCCCTGGACGGGAGCACGGGTCCTCTCAGACCCCAAGCCTCTGCCGAGAGGGGACCCCGCACTGAGAGGCCCAGAGATGAACCAGTCCCTCCTGCCCCCGCATTCGAGAGAGACCTGCAGGGGGACCTGAAGGCTCAGACAGGAAGAAGCAGAACCAGGAGGCCAGGAGCCGGGAGATTTACACTGCGTGGAGGGGCTCTGCTCCCCCGCCCACGGCGAGGACTCGGGGAACCTCGGGTCCGACTGGGGCAGAAACAGACTGGAGGAGACGACATAGGAGGATGCAGAGGGAGGGAGGGCGGAGATGCAGGTCCCCCAGACCCGACTTTCCACAGCTGGACGGTGGCACCATGACCAGTGTATTCCAGGCTCCCACTGGCCCTGCCACAGGAGAAAAACAAGACCCCGAATTCCTCCTCCCTCCATGTATCCCCATCACTGAGCCCTGAGAGACACGGTCAAGGCTGCCGTGGAGACCAGAAGGGGAGGCCATGTGTCCCCTTCCATCGGCCCTTCTTGCCCCTGGACACGCCTGCCAGACCGGCAGCAGCCTGCCCTCTGGGAGGGACTCCTGTCTGTCTGAGGCTCACGGAGCTGCCAGGAAGCAGGGGACGAATGAATTGACGTAGGACCCCTACCAGCCGAAGCCCACCCCTCTGGCCCCCACCCTAACTCTTTGGGACCAGCGAAGGGAGCAGGCAGGCCCCCCGCCAGGAGTAATTGAAAGGAGCAGATGAGAATGTGTCCCCCACCTCCCCTGCCTGCCCCAGGGGGGCTGCCGAGAAATGAAAACTAATCAAATTACACCCGACGGCCTCCCTCCTGGGCCCAGGAGCCCAGGGCTGGCCGGGGCAGGCAGGCTGGGTGGGTGGGTGGAGGCGGG